TCTTTCTTTCTTTCTTTCTTTCTTTCTTTCTTTCTTTCTTTCTTTCTCTTTCTTTCTCTCCCATTCTTTTTCTTTCTTGCTCTCTTTCTTTTCTCTCTCTTTCCCTCTCTCTATCTCTCTCTGTGTGTCTCTTTTTCTCTCTCTCTTTCCCCTCTCTGTGTACCTCTCTCTCTGTGTGTGTGTCTCTCTCTCTGCCCCTCTCCCTATCTTCCCCTCTCTCCACGCCCCCGTCTCTCTCTCTCAAAGCCGACAAGCCAGCAGGTTCAGACTGGCTGAACAACGATCGTAGAAGGATCCCTTCAAGCGACCCCCCTCCCCCTCCTCCTCTCGCGACAGGCGGCTATGGTGGAGCTGTGTGTGTGTGTGTGTGTGTGTGTGTGCGCACATGCGTGCGCACACGCACGGGAAGATGCCCAAGCGAGTGCCAAAGCACAGCAAAAACGGGCAGGCGGCTGTGGCTGGCGATCGTTGTTCAGCCAGTCTGGATTCCAAAACGAAGAAATTAAAGAAGTAGCGAAGAGCACCAAGGAAGGAGAACTTGCTGGCTTGGCCCAGCTGCGGATTTGAGGGAGGGGGAGAGAGAGAAAAATCAAACAAACAAACACACACACACATACACACACAGTTGGGGAGGTGTGTGTGTGTGTGCGCTTTACTTTTTTAAATTCTTGATTTTCTTTATCTTTTAAAAATCCTGGTAATGTCCTTCATTTATGTCCTCTTTAACAGATTCATAACGTGTTTTGAAGGTGAGGCATATGATGAATAACACAATTATCCCAAAGTTGGGGGGGGGGGGGAAAGAACATTGGTTTGTTGAGGCTCAACAGGAACTTGAAGACTTAATTTCCTGTTCCTGTCATGCAGCTTTTGCATGGATGAAATTTCTCCTCCTGTTGCGTGGGAGATTGGTTGGGGCTGTGGACACTGGAAGGGAGATGTTGCTTCTGGAATACTTACAGTAGTATAGCTTTCTTTTTCATTCTCCCTCCCTGTTTCTCATCTCTCTCCTCCATGGCAAGAGCAGCAGTGTCAGTCAGTGTCTCAGGAGAAAAGTCGCCCCCCCCCATATTCCTCTCGTCTTGCTTTGAGTAGCCTCACACAGCACCAAACTCAGCACCAACATTAACTCTCAATACAGTACAATAGGGTATATTGTAAAAAAAAAGTATGTTACAAAGAAAGAGGTAAGATTAGGATTCTTTTTTTTTTTTTTTGTTATCTGACATTCTGAGTGGAGTTTTTTGTTTAATTTTTACATGGGGCTGACATAAATCAAGATTAAAATGATAGTTTTGTTGTCTTTTGCTCCACAAGAATAATGGTGACCATTTTCAAAGTTAGTCTTTTGGTTCTTTTTTTCCCATCCTCATTCTTCCCAGTCACTTAACTCTTATTTCCTGCTGTAAAATAGGACTGACAGACATCAGACAAACATAGCACAGAGAATTGAAATCAGTGGCTTTTAAATCATGTATAGATGGCAGTGCCGATGTATATGCATAGAGCAGAATTATGCATTTGAGAGAAAGAAGAAAAAGAAAAGAAAAAACTGCTATCTGACTTAGCAAATAGAATGACATCTTTTTTATTGAAATGATTGGCAGAGGTAGCTGCAGGGGTCAGTGTGTCTCTTTTCTTCTGGGAGATACCATTAACATGAGGCCACAATGCCCAGTCACTAAAATCGCCAGATATGAAACATTGCTCTGAATCACAGTAGTCAACTCAGGCAGGGAGTGTTGGCATGGCAGCACAATAATCAGTCTTTGTTTGAAGTAGGCAGCAAAGGCATCATGCAGTGACAATATTTCTTTCAAGGAGAGTAATATGTGGTTGTGATCCATTTCATTGAGTTCATACATTCAGGCTCTGTTGAAATAGAAACCAGAAGAGTGTACACCATTGCATCAGTAACAGCATGTTACCAAAAAATAGCAGGCACAGAGAAGAGAAGGGGATGGACTGAAATGTTATCCTTGACCTGACTTTCTCCAAGATATAAGGATGCATATGGAGGCCTAGAAATAAAGGCTAATCCTTAGGAATACTGGCTGCTAAGAAACCGCTAGGAAGAATAAAAGCTGGGGAAATAGGTTGGGTTGCTGAATCATTCAAAGTCATTCTTTGTTTTTTAACCATGATTTGCTCAATAAGACACTAGGTGGGTCTGCAGAGGTTTAGCCAAACATGTCAAACATAATAATATGGATGAGTGTGTTGTGTGAGCCCAGGTGTATACCAGTTGACTAAATCGGGAAAGAAATGACAAAGAAAGAATAAACATTCAAATAACTCTGGAAGAAAAGAATGAAACAGAGAAATTCATGGATCAGAAGGTGTGGTGTACAACATGGACATGATTTAGAAAGCAAAGCCTGCTGAGAAGCAACTGCTAGTTATCCTGCATGTAGAATCAGCAATGCCCCTTTGTGGAAATGACTGCCAATTTGCTCTCTCCCTTTAGTGGATACTATCACATGGTTGTAACAAAAATGATTCAAATGTTTTGCAAAACATTTCTCTGTGTATGTCAAGAAAATGTCAAAATAATGCTTCTGTGGGTCTTAAAACATTCAGATTTGGGAAAAGTTTTATTCTCTTTTCTTTGGAATTGGGCTCTACCTTTTTAAAAAATGGAAATGTCAGTTGATAGCAGATTTTTTTTCTGTTAGTGGTTACCAGATTCATATTCATCATACAAATGGAAGAACCTGCTCTTGAATCAAGAACAATTATATTTCTCACAGTTCCAGCTGGTGAGGGTATCTGGCTTACCTTCCAATGAGTCTTGGAAACTCATTAGAATCAGACATGTTTAATATTTTGTTAGCAGTTCTCCACTGTCTTTAATTCATGTTTCTCATGGCTGTGGAACTTTTCTCTTCTTTGTGGATATGCAGCATGGGAGAATGTTAAGATATGAGTTTTTAAGTATATCCTATTGCTGGCACTGCTAAACTAGAGTGGAATTTAACTAATGCTCCATATTTTGTTTCCAGGAGCTCTGTACTAAAGGAGTATACACACTGCATCTTAAAAGCTCATTAGCAGAAGAAGCAACAAATGAGCTTATTAACATGTTGCTAGATCTGGATGCACAGAATAAGGGAGATGCTGGTGAGAGTTTTCTGAGTGGGAGCAGAACTGAAGGAATTAATGAAGGTAAAGAGCAAACATACTACCATATGTAAATTAGTACTATTACTTGTTTATGCTCTTCATTAAAACATCTGTGGCTTGTAAGTTAGAATGCAAGTAAATTAAATAAGATAAATTAACGGAATAGTATATTTCAACAACATAATCAGTTCTACCACCTACACAGCAGAGGTGGTATTCAGCAGGTTCTGACCAGTTCTGGAGAACCGGTAGCAGAAATTTTGAGTAGTTTGGAGAGCCGGCAAATACCATCTCTGATTGGCCCCACCCACATCTATTCTCTGCCTCCAGAGTCCCAGCTGATCGGCTGTTGTTGTTTTTTTGTTGCCCTGCACAGGAGAACGGAGCTGGAAAGCATGTTAGTAGGGTGGGGAATGAATGGGGATTTTGCAGTAACCTTCCCCCAGAAGCGGGGAGGGAATGGAGATTTTACAGTATCCTTCCCCTGCCGCAACCACCAAGCTACGCCCACCAAGCCATGCCACGCCCACCAAGCCACGCCCACAGAACTGGTAGTAAAAAATTTTTTGATCCCACCACTGCTACACAGCTAATGCAAATTGAGCCAGTGAGAATACTTTACCACTTTTCTGTAAGCTATTTAAAGAATAAGAAGAGGACCACATTCTAGATAGAACACTCTGCAGCTAAGACATTTTTCATGTTGATGCAAGCATATATTTACACCTGTAATGCTAGAGACCTTTGGGGTGTGGAATATTTAGATGATGTTAAAAACCTCTGAAAAGTAAGAGCAAAACTTTTCAAACAGTAGTTTGTAAGTAAGGGCATCTGACATAATAAGCATTTATAACTTTTCTATTTTAATTAAGTAAATGTGAATCAAACCAATACATAGCTTCATATGCTTTCAGAAAAAAAACTATCCTGTAATCTGCAACTCTTACACTGCAAAAACATATGGACTAAACAACTCAATCAGGGCAAAGCAATAGACTCAATTTACATAGACTTCTGTAAAGCCTTTGATTCAATGATACATGACAAACTACTCCTAAAACTAAAATCTTATGGTATCTCTGGACACCTGCATAACTGGATAGAAGCATTCTTGTCAAACAGACAACAAATGGTCAAAATTGGGAGCGTCCTATCAAATTCTGTGCCTGTCAACAGTGGTGTCCCCCAAGGCAGTGTTCTAGGACCAACTCTCTTCATACTCTACATAAATGACCTCTGTGATCATATTAAGAGCAACTGTGTTCTCTTCACCGATGATGTAAAGCTATTCAACACCACAGACAATACTACTACCCTCCAAAAAGACCTTGACTATGTATCAGAATGGTCAAAGAAATGGCAACTTCAAATCTAACAAATAAATGCTCTGTCTTACATATTGGCAGAAAAAATCAGTAAATAAAATACAAGCTGAATAGTCAAGATCTTGTTGATGATCCAAACTCTGTCAAGGACCTTGGAGTACTCATCTCTAATGATCTAAGTGCTAGAGCCCACTGTAACTACATAGCCAAAAAGGCATTAAAAGTTGTTAACTTAATCCTGCATAGCTTTTTCTCTGGTAATATCACACTACTAACTAGAGCATACAAAACATTTGCTCGACCAATACTTGAATACAGCTCATCAGTCTGGAACCTGCATTACGTATCTGATATTAATACAGTTGAGAAAGTCCAGAAATATTTCACAGGAAGAGTTCTCCACTCCTCTACTCCTAGCAGAATATCTTATGCCACCAGACTTGAAATTCTAGAAAACCTAGAACTACGCTCCTTCGGTCCGATCTAAATATAGTACATAAAATTATATATTGCAATGTCCTACCTGTCAATGAATACTTCAGCTTCAACTATAACAATACAAGAGCAACACAATCGATGCAAACTCAAGGTAAACCGCACCAACTTGATTTCAGGAAATACGACTTCAGCAACAGAGTGGTCAATGTCTGGAATACTCTACCTGACTCTGTGGTTTCTTCACCAAACCCCCAAAAGTTTAATCTTAGACTGTCTACCATTGACCTCACCCCTTTCCTAAGAGGTCTGTAGGGGGCATGTATAAGCACACCAACGTGCCTACCGTCCCTGTCCTATTGTTTCTTTTTATTTTTCTTATATGTATCCATATCATGTACTCATAACTATGTTTATACTTATACCTGTTATCTTATAATCGCTTGACAAAATAAAATAAATAAATAAATAGCACAAGAATCCTGGATTTTTGTGTAATGGCATGTGGAAATGACCTTGGGAAACAGGAGGAAGAGCTGCAACCTAGACAATCCTTATTCAAGAGGTATCTTAGGCGACACAAAGAAAAGGGGCATGGGAAGTGTTTTAGAAAGCACCCTCGGTTTTTTGGGGAGTAAAAGTAAAGGAGAGGAGAAGGCTTTCAGACTTGCAAAATTCTGTTACTCTAGTTTTACAATAAAGATATTGTTAGTTCTCTGAGTTCTTGTCTGGCCTACTTTGAGAGATTGACAATATGCAGGTTTTGTCAAGCTGCTGAAACAATAATCTCAATTGGATAGTTTAAAGTAAAGTACTGTTAGAAAACACATGCTAATATTGAAATGCTCATGTTATATAGAAAAAGGAGAGGGATGCCAGATTTCCCCCCAATTCCATGGGGATCTATGCTGACTATATTATTGTAAAATAATGGAGACAATAGTAGACCCAACCAATTCTTATTCATATATTTTCCTTTGTCCACTTAAAACTCAATGCTGATTGTTATCATGTTACCCTAAAGCCATAAAGAAATATGGAATTGCATAAGGTTGCATGTATGTATAAATAGTACTGATTATTCATTTATTGGTTGATCAGAATTTTGCTGACTTAATTCAGTCCTTGTTCCCATCTGTAGAAGAAGAAGGGCCATTGGACGTCTTAGCATCCTCACAAACTGCTAGTCAGATTTCAGTAGGATTGTCTTCTCCTTTAACCAAGAAAAAAAAGAAAGAAATGGAGATGCTTGAAGAAGAAGCTCAGGAACTGCTTTCCCATTTCAGTCATCGCAATGTTGATGCTCTTCTGAAAGTTATTCGTAACACTCTGGAGGCCATACGCAAGCAAATTCACACCTCTTCTGTGATCAGTTTTTTAGGTAATTTCTTTCTTTTCTTAATGCTTTTTCCCACCATAAAAAGACAGGTTGTTTGTTATGAAGAAGCTATGTATATAGCATGGAGAACACAGTTACGTGAGTGTGGCATGAAGGAGTAAGGAGGGTATTAGTGTCCAGGAAGGAGGGTAATGTGAAAGAAGCACATCTCTATAGCACTCCTCCTAATTAGTCTGTTTTTCCACATAGATTTGTCTTTTCCACAAACTAAAATAAAAAATCAGTAGAACAATTCAAATTCTGAAATGAACATGTCACAGCTCTGTGGTAATAATTTGCTGTGATGAAGATGGTAGCACGTTGCAACTCGAGTTTTGTGCTTCCTGAATATTGGTCTACCAATAATGTGAACATATCTTTGTTGACAGCCAGTTTAAAAAAATACAAGAACATTCTCAAAATAGCTTGATGAAATGCAGTGAGATTTACTTCATGAATATTATACTTAAGGTATATCTGCATTGAAAATAATATTACTGTTTAAGCAGAAATGATATGTTAAAAGCAGAATTGTATTTGGGCTCATTGCTTAATGTGCTGTTGAAGCATAGACATTGTGATCAAACTTTTTTGTAATCTCAAAATATCCATGACAACATCTAAATGATGTCATAGAAAAGTATTGTTGCCGGTACTTCCGGTTTGTCGGCTTCGCGAGCGGCAGGGATTTGCGAAGCTGCGCGATCCCTGCCGCGCTAGCCGTTTTTGGGGCTCCGACCCAGCCGGGTACGGAGCTAGGCTGCCCTGCAGGGGCAGCTGAAGGTAGGGGGGATCCGGAGAAGGGTTTGGGGGTGCTGCAGACCCCCTCCCTGGCCGGCAGAACCCCCTTTTCCCAGGACAGTGCAGCGGCGGTCCGTAATGGCCGCCACAAAGAAGCTGGCAGCCGGGTAAGAATGCGCAGGAGGAAGTGGAGAAAGTGATTGAGAGGAGAAAGTTTTTCTTGGCTCCTAGGACTCTAAGACATATTTAATAAAATTCCTGAAAAGTATGATTCTCTGAATAATACCTGCCAGAAGAGGAAAAAAGCGGCTGCTGGAAGGTGCTGAAAGGATAGCTTTCCCTCTTTTCCTACGGAATAAATAACTGGATATTAAGAAACCTATTTTTTTAGGTGGAAATTGGTTTTAAGCGATGAGTGGGAAGAGAGAGGATTAAAAAGAAAATATTTGTATGCTAAGATTTGTTGGAGCAGATGCCTTAAGGATTTGAAGACTAGAATATATTGTAACAAGACTTTAAACAGATTTGGACTTTCTTTCTCTTTGATTGATATCACCCCAGAAGGAGAAAGTGAGAACTCTGCCTTGGTTTGGACTGATTGATAACTTTGGGACTGTTTTATCTTTTTTATTTTCTTTTGAATATTCTGGTTGTTGTAAGAAGAAAGAAGGAGAAAAGAAAAGAAAAGATTTATAATGGCTCTTTCTGTTGAGGAACTAAGAAATGGTGTGGAAGAAGCTTTCCTTTTCTTAGAAATGGCGCTTACTAATTATCAACAAAAATTACAACAGATGAAGACAGCAGAGGAACAAGAAAGAAAGGAAGGAGCCATCTTTAATGAATCTCAGAATTTGATCCAGAAAAAAGGAAGAGAGAAAGAAAAGAAAAGAAGAGAAAAGAAGAAAACTAAAGGATTTAAGGACTTAAGATCTAAAAAAACATTTAAGAAAGGGAAAAATAAAGTGCAAAACCAATATGATGATTGTAAACAAAGGGGAAAAGAAATACGACAGAGAAGGGAAGCCGGTAAGGCAGAGGCTAGAAGAAGGGGGGGTAGAAAGGTTTGTTGGGAAAAGAAAGAAAGGGAAAAGGTGGAGAAAAGCTACAACGTTTTGAAATTAAATGGAAAAAAGGAATTTTTTATGGATAATGGATAAAGTATAATTTAAAAAAAAAAAAAGATTTTGCAAGGTACATAAGATGAGATGGTAGTATTGCAATGGTTTAAGAGTTGATAAGAGATTAAAATGCTAAAATGTTTAAAAATGATTGGTTTTAAAACTTAATAATAGGAGAGGTTTAGAATATTGTTTTAATTAAAGAGTTTAATAAAATTATGGTATTGATGTTATTATAAAATTTTTATTATAGTATTTCTTTTTAATATTTGGATTTATTCTCTAATTATGCACTTAATTGTGTTGGATGTATTAGTTAGATAGAATGTACCAAGCAAAATCTGATTGGGTATTAGATATTATTTTAAAGATTAATTTGATTAACTTAGGGGGGAGATAGAAAGGCATCATACTCTGATTAATGATTTCAGGAGAAACTGATTTTCTTTTTTTTCATAAGGGATGAGACAAAGGGATGATAAAAAATGGACAAAAGATACAAATATAATGATTTAAACTAAGATGATTAATTAAGGTAGAATTAAGAAGTGTGAAATATGTGGAGAAGTTAATATAGAAGGCTTAGAATGGTAAATAAAATAAGTAATGATATGTAAGATGAGCATGAATATAATTGAAGTCCATGAAGAGAGAGACACCTGGGTCCAAGTTACTTTCCAAAAAGATATTTTTTTTATGTTTTGTGTGTTGTGTGTATATGTCTTTTTTGGGGGGAGAATTGGTAAAAACTTGTAGAAATATAGAATGAGAATAATGGTAACTAAGTCAGAAAAAACAGATGAAATAATAATAATGATATTGAATAAGAGTAAAGAGAAGTAAAGAGAAATTGAATAAGAGGTTTTGGTGTATTATATGGAAATGGTTTAAAACAGAATCATAATTTATCTGACTTGTTAAATTTACAAGGGAAAAAGGTTTAAACATGTAATGAATAATGATAATTTGTGTGTTTTAAAAATTAATAAAACTTGTTTTTAAAAAAAAAAAAAAAAGAAAAGTATTGTTGCCATATGCTCCACAACATATTTGGGTAAGTGTGTATGTTAGGCCAGTTTCATATGAAAGAACAGCCTTGAAGGATACCTGGGAGCCAAGCCATATAAGGAAATATAAATGAAAAACAATACCTTGAATTTTACTTGTATGAATTTCACCTGTGTGAAGCCCGTACAGTTATATAGCTACAGTGGCTCTCATATGCTAGCATGTAGGCTGCTCCATTTTGCACCTGTTATCAAAAATAATCCCATGTAGCCTAATAGTGATGAGGACATGATTCACCATACCAGTAGTTTTGATTTAGATAAGGGTTGCAGCTTGGCAGAGGCCTCCATGGTCTTGACCTTCACTTGGTAATCCAGCAGGAGCTCTAATTTCAGGAAAGTCCCCAAATTGTAGATTTGCTTGTCCAGATTTATAACCAAGGAAGTCTGAGTGCCAAATGGTCTGAACAAAATAATTATTAAAGCAAACTTGTTCTGGTAAGAGGAAACGGAGAAACAAAGTTTGGGATACTCCTTTTTATCATATTTTTCTGGAAAGCTGGTTGCTTCTGCAGAGCAGCACGAAATAAACTTAGGGAGAATAAAATGTAGGCTAAATATTACTATTTGTTTCCTTGTTTTGCCCCTCATGGTTTCAATTCCAATGCTTCATTTGAGCAGAAGTTGCCCCAGTGTGAATCGTGTTATTGATCTGAATTCATCCCACTATATGGGACAAAATGCTGAAAGTTCAAAGCAATGTAGCTTCTTTTTTGTCCTAATGAAAGCACATCTTAAAATATTTATGGCAGAAAGGAATCGTTAAGCAGTGCAGATATATGCAATCTCCAAAGAATACATGTTTCATCAATAAATTGATGGTCTTTTCATGACTGTATGACCAGCATGGTTCACATAATGTATATTATTTGTGCCCCGAGTATCTTCTGCTTTGTTGTCTTAAAGTTTCCAAGAAAGTTATCTTTTAAATCGAACACAATGAACCAAGCCTCCTTGGTTTTTCTTTTCAAAAAAAAATAAGCTGGCCTTGTATTGTTTTTCCAGTGTATCTTAACTACAAGCCTTGATGAATTATCTAACCATTGGCTGTTTGGAAGATGTGGATTTTATTCTGTATCTGAGTGGATTAATAAGGATTATGTTTCTCATTTCCATATAGATAGTGAGAATATCTCAAAGCAGAAACAAAATGCTGCGCCCATCTTTAAAGCTAGTGTTATCCTTTCCATTCCAAATTTTGCTATAATGCCAACCCTTGAAGAAATTCAGCAAACACTCAACAAAGCTGTGGATTGTATTGTAAGCACAATGAAAGGAGTTGGTCAGTGGAGTAAGGAGAGACTATCAAAGGTATGTATGTGTTTATGTACTTCAAAGAGGTCTAGTGATAAACAGTATGAAATCTAAGATATTGGAGTCTAAGGATTTTTTTTCCCCATTCTGTACAGAAAAAGTTGTTAGAACGCAAAATGCTTGCTTTACAAAATGAGGGAGGCAGTGATTCTGAGACTGAAATGAAAGAGACTGAAGTTGGAAACCAGGGTAATATATTAATATTTATGTTTCTTGACTTTCATAAGATTTAAATACAATCTTTTAACTGCTATGTGACATTTCATTGATGCATCAATTAATCATGAAATAATGTAATGGTAATAACATACTTTAAGCAAATATATTTAGAATGTGGGAAAGATATTCTCATCCCATTTAGTAGTGTATGTGTGAATGTCAAAGTCAGAACAGCTTAGATTAATGGACTGAGTTAGCCTCAGAATAAAAAGAAGAGGAAAAAGATTGATTGTTAAAGAATAAGACAAGAGAACTGGCAACACAAAACCTTCTTTTCATGCATAAAAGGATCACTTAAAGTTAGCAGTGGATACACCAATTTACTAAACAAGTAATTTACTGATCACAGATAGGCTTTAGAAAAATGTTCCAGTTTTGTCCCCCTGATGTATAGAGTTCCTTGTTTTGTTTTTTGTCTAGATGCAGCTTCTGATACAGCCTCTATGATCTTGCCCTCTCCTATCCAGAAAAAGAACTACAACAAAGCCATTTCAGAGAACAAGGAAATAATTAAATTGGTGTCTGTGCTTAGCACAAGTATCAGTTCTACCAAACGGGTGAGTTCCACAACATCTCTGAATGTGAGTTAAAGTTGCAGTCCACCAATTGTCCAAAAAGTGAGAAATGATCCTGAAGCAGGAAACATACAGAGAAAACAAAGTGATGGTGAAGGGGTGAAGGGTGTAAGGGTGGCAGCAGAAACGGAGAGAAAAAGCAAAATATTTCAGCAGTACAAAATGGATTAGTCCAGGATGACTACCAAAACAAAACAAAACAGTTTTGTTTTACAAGCTATACAAAGTCCAAGTCTGCTTTTGGTGGCAGCGAGGCCACCAAAATATTAGAGGTGTTTAATGGACTGAGGTCCATAAAGGTCTGCCTCCACTTCATGTATCTTGATCCCTTCCTTGCCATCTTTGTTAATCTTAAGTCAATTTTAATTGTATTTTAACTGTAATTTTTTAAATGTTTTATTGCTTTTACTTGGTTGTAAGCCAAGGCAACTTGGGTGAGATGAGTGGCATATACTATAAACTTAATAAATATATAAATGAATGAATGAATGAATCGTACCTCATGATTTCCCAGATATGATGAAAGTCTTTAATGCCAGAGTTCATGGTTCATTACTGCATGAAGCAATATATATCAAAATTTATCAGTGGAACTGTTTGTATACAATTGCCTTATATTGGTTTTTATCAATGTTTCAGGAAGTTGTTTCAGCTTTGGAACGTTTCAAATGTTACCATCACATCTGGCAGAGAGAGAAAGAAGAAACCATTGAAAATTTCATCAAAGGAAGCCCTTTGCTGTCTGATTTTGAATCCCAAATCCTTTATTACCGAGACTTAGAATTAAAAATTAATTCAGAATCTGAATACATATGCGTGGGAACTGTTGCACTCTATACTGGTATAGTGATTTCATGTTTAGTTAGCAGTAAATGCTGTTTAATTTAGTTCAGAATGTTTTTCAAAGCAACATTAAGACTGCAGTCTCAAAATAAAGTTGGATAATCTGAAATATCAAAGCCTAAACCTATCTTTTGTTTTGCCAGTATAAGGCAAAAAAACATTAAAAAAATATAGATTAAAGATCTGAGCTAGTTAGCAAGAAAATAAAAAATTCCAAACTCTTCCACCAACATTTTAAAGAAAAAGAGTATGCTAGCCTCTTTGAAGTATATGGTGTGTACAATCTTATTTTACATCATTCTCCAGACAGTGCAATTCTCATCTTTTCAAAAAATGTTAAATGTATTTACCTGCCACCAAAAAGCTTACTTAGAAGTCCCTTTAGACTCGGTCAAATGTATTTCTACATAGTATATATAAAATAGCAATAGCACTTATATAGCATTGTATAGTGCTTTACAGCCCTCTCTAAGCAATTTACAGAGTCAGCATATTGCCCCCAACAATCTGGATCCTCATTTTACCCACCTTGGAAGGATGGAAGGCTGAGTCAACCTTGAGTCTGATGAGATTCGATCTTCCAAATTGCAGGCAGCTGGCTGCAGCAGAAGCAGCTTGCAGTACTGCGCTCTAACCACTGCATCACCAAGGCTATAAATAAAGCAATAAACCTCTCTTCTTTTGCTGCTTTTCCTGAGATATATTAAAAAGGGGTTACTGTTTTACCTCTTGTCACCACTTGGCATGGAAGAGGGGATAGCAGATTGAATATGGGCTATATCAGTATAACAATTTGGTCAGTGGTGGTATGCTACCGGTTCGGCCAAACAGGTCGTTAAAAAAAAAAGCCTCTGATCAACTGAGAGAAGAAAAACAAGCCTGTCACATCAGATGAGAGGATAAAAATCCAAAAAGCACATGGGAGGGTGGGAGGGTCGCTCCTAGCTTTCTGTTTCTTCATCCTCTCAGCTGATTGGCTTGTTAGGGGCGCATGCACACGATCACCCACCGAAGCAGTAGCAACTAAGGTAGGATCCCACTACTGAATTTGATCCTAACTGAAATTTCTCCGTCACTTTCTATAGCGGATTTAAAGTTGGCCCTTACAACTGAAACCAAAGCTTGGATGACTGCATTTGGACGTCACTGTAATAAGAAATACAGGACAGAGATGGAAAACATCTTCACCTTTGTAGAGGAAATCAGCAAGAGACTAAACCGCCAGATTAGAGACCTGGATGACATAAGAATAGCCATGGCTGCCCTGAAAGAGATCCGAGAGCAACAAATCTCCATAGACTTCCAAGTGGGACCAACTGAGGTAAATAGGAAGGGAACCCAGGCCCATTGCTGGCATCTGGCACTGAACCCTGCCTTCTGCTAGTTTGATGAAAGAAGGCAAAATCCTTTCTTACATTGGAAGACAAGGCAAGGTGATAGAGAAGTCTACCCAGAGGCTAATGTTTTCAAAGTCCTCCTATCAATTGCATCTTTGTTTTCACTCCAAAACTGTTTTTGCTTTCAGCAGCTTTAATATCTTTTCTACTTCTTCCTTGGTTGTGTAGTACCTCACTTTACAGGTTTAATTTCTTAGTTGTTTCATTCAAGAGGGAATGAAACTTACTTTGCCTTTCTCTGCCTGGCTTTCTGCCTAATGGTTCCAATGATAAAATATGAAAAATCTGCAAATTTTGTTTATAGGACAAGGGGAGAGCAGAAGAAATTACTTCCTCAAACTCGAGGGACAAACAGCTCATAAGTATTGGCTTCTCCTGCCCATCAAGCCTTTTCTCGATCATATAACACTTTTTTCACGGGATAGAGCAGGCCTTCATAACTTCTGAAGAGAAAGACTTATACCTTAAAAATAATTGTGTGCTACAAAAGAATAGCTGGTGCACTGATCTGCTGTTCAGTGGTTCAAAAACATTTCTTTCTGGATAGAAGTAGCTGCAAAAACTGTGGCAGTGGATCCTTCCTGGGTAGCATCATGTTTGGTAGCAAGTGGATTGCTTTTTTGTTTGTTTTTAAATTCTGAGGAGAGGGGCTGCGCAAGGCCATCTGATGGGCCACATGTTCTGCAGGCCAGAGATAGAAGAAAATGCAAGAAGATAACCAACCTTAGTCATACTAATGAAATAATCTAAAGTGGCAGTGCTACCTTTCATTTTCTAAAGAAGACACAATATTTTCACTTCAATATAGATATATAGTTCCCCATGATCCCATCCCTTATTATACATTTCTTGAACATCTATTGTTGCTTCAATTAATAATATCGGATATGTTGAAATTATTTGAGTTCCTGGAGGTTAGCACAATATATCAATTGCTATTGGTGTTGACTTAACCATCCGAAATATGTAAGGATGTGTTACAGATTTCTGTGTTTCTGCGAGGGATGCTGCTTTGTTGAAAAAATAATATCAGATTTGTTTATAAAAAGCAGCAATTTTCCTAAACACAACATTTTTATTTCTATCTTAATTCAATTTCTATCAATGGCAAAGTTCCTCTGCTTTTCATTTAAAGACACAGCTTTCATATACATAATAGAAGCATGTATGCGTCTTTCTTTAAATTAATGTACCTGGTTCACAGAGAAATAGTTTTATTTTTCTTTCTATTATAATTCAAAACCAGAATAAAAGTTTGCTATTGTATGACTCATTAGTTATTACTCAATAATTTAGCTTAAATTGTATAATAATTGATGCACTAAAAAATCATTGTTAGGAAATCTGTTTGGGATACTGTCATCATCGTACATCAGCCATTCAGTCATGTCCAACCCTTGGCCCTCTAGGGATCATCACTCACTATGCCCCTCTATCTCACACTGCCTTCTTCAGATCCGCCATGGTCACCTCAGTGTAATCTTTTATAGTGTCCAACCAGCAGGTGTTAGGGTGGCCTCTTCCACTGATCACTCCCAGCATGATTGACTTGAAGAGTGAAGCAGCTCTCATACCATGACCAAGGTATGACCGCTTTTGTTTGGTGATCTTGTCTTCAAGTGGTATTTTTGGTTCGGTCTAGGACTGCTTTGTTATTTTTGCAGTCTATCTAAGTCACCTCTAGCACCACAATTCAAAGGTGCCAACCCTTCTCTTATCTGTCTTTTTTTAGAGCCATTTGTTTTTCCGCAGCCATAAGTAGGAATTGAAAAAGTTATTGCATTAACTAATCTGCATTTGGTTGTGAGATACTGTAGCTGTAAATATATTCACTTTCAAAAACAAAAACTTACATATTCATTTCATTCTTAGCACTAGTATGTAAGTGGTGGCTATCCTCTGGTATAAGTATGATTTCAAGTTCCATGTGGCTGATTTTTAAGATGGGTTTTGCACTAACTCAAACAATTCTCTTTCATCTTTTGCAGGATCTCTACTGATATATTTACCCTTACAAATCTATGTTTGGTTAGTATGACATGTGTAAACTTTAATAATGAAAGATAACAACTGTTGCCTTGGCAGGAATCTTATGCAATGTTAAACAAGTATGAGTTACTGGTGGCAAAGGAGCAGATGGAAAAAGTAGACACTCTGCGGTATACCTGGGAGAAATTGTTGGTCCGAGGAAATGAAGTGCAGAATGAATTAGTGGCTTTGCAGCCCAAATTCAGAGGGGAACTAATCAGCACAGTGGAAGTGTTTGTTGAAGACTGTGATCAATATTACTTGGATTATGACAAGGTACAATACTATAGTACATTGGGAAAACATAATTTTCAAACTTGTTTCTTGTATCTGAAAATAAGTTGAAGGTTAGACATTAAAAATAGAGTTTATTCTTGGTTAGCTCAGGATAACATTAAAAACCCCAGCAGAAATAAGATAAGATTAGCTAACATTCCATTGCAGTTTTTTAAAATGCACAGTACTAGTTTGTTATTATTATTTTTTAAAGCTATCCTTGTCAGGTCTGTAGGTGCTTTTCCTTAGTTGGCCAAATATAGAAAGCAGCTAACTAAACACATTATTCAAGATGGAAGAGTATACCTTAGTAATAGAATTGATCATCTGACAAAATGACAAAATTGATAATCTGACAAATATTTGCAGAGAAATATATTTTATCCCCAAGTCAGGGTCTGGAAATTTCCCCATTGAGAGGAATTCCAGAATTATAGTGTTATATGTAGTAAATTTCTCCCATATCTGAAACTTTGAAGAAACGTTAACATTTTAGAAAGGATTACTTCAGAGTAGACCTTATTTTACAAAAGCAACTACAGCATTCTACACTTGGATAGTGTGAAGTAACTCAACTGAAAAGAGCTGTATTTGTATCACTGTGAGATAGTGATAGACACACTTCATTTTAAATGTATGAAACACTCCATGGTGAAGAAATTTTCCAATATAAAAAGTTTGATTTGCGGCTGCCGAAACATTGAATATGTCATTCTATGCAAAGTCATAGTTGATCCACAGATCATAAACTATGTTATCCTTCTGCTTAGACATGTTTTTTTTAAAACAAATTTTATTAATTTTAAAGACAAACAAATCATCATTAACCATTACATACTTGAACCTTTTTCCATTATAAATTTTACAAGTCAAATAAAACCTTATTTTATACAATATAATTCTATTTTAAACCATTTCCATATGAGCATACAAATACCTCTTATCCAGTTTCTCTTTACTTCTCTTTACTCTTATTCAATTTCACTATTATTATTTCATCTATTTTTTTCTGACTTGGTTATCATTATTCTCATTCTATATTTCTGCAAGGTTTTATTAATTCTCCCAAAAACATAAACACACAACACACAAACATATAAAAAATCTTTTAGGAAAGTAACTTGGCCCCAGGTACCTCTCTCTACATGGACTTCAATTATATTCATGCTCATCTTACATGTCATTACCTATTTTATTTACCATTCTATGTCTTCTATATTAGCTTCTCCACACATTTCACTCTTCTTAATTCTATCTTATTTAATCCATCTTAATTTGAGTCATTATATTTGTATCTTTTGTCCATTCTTTATTATCCCTTTGTCTCATTCCTTATAATAAAAAAAAAGAGTTTCTCCTGAAATCACTAATCAGAGTATGATGCCTTTCTATCTTCCCCCTAAATTAATTAGATTAACATTTAAAATAACACCTAATACCCAATCTGATTCTGCTTGGTACATTCTGTCTACTAATTTTTTTTCTTTTTAATAAAAGAAAAATAATAAATCCAAAATGATTAAATACATAGTTAAATAATAGATCTAAATATTGAATCTTATAACATTCCCATTGCCTTTTCCAAAGACAAATACTACAATAATAATTTTATAATAACATCAATACCATAGTCATATTAAACTCTTTAATTAAAACTCAATATTCTAAACATTCCCTTTAATATTTTATTAAATTTTAAAATCAATCATTACTAAACATTTCAACATTTTAATCTCTTATTAACTCTTAAACCATTCTAATTTTCTATTTCTAATACAAATGCTACAATACCATCTTATGTACCTTGCAAAATCTTTTTTAAAGAAATTATACTTTACCCTTTGTCCCTAAAAAAGATTCCTCTTTTCCCATCTGATTTCAAAACTTTGTGGCTTTTCTCCACCTTTTCCCTTTCTTTCTTCTCCCACCAGACCTTTCTACCCCCCCTTCTCCTAGCCTCTGCCTTACTGGCTTCCCTTCTCTGTTGTGTTCCTTTTTTCTTTTGTTTACTATCATTATATTGATTTTGCACCTTATTTTTCTCTTTCTTGAGTGTTTTTTTAAATCTTAAGTCCTTCATTTTCCTTCCTTTCTTTCTTCCTTCTTTCTTAGTTAAATTTTGAAATTCATTAAAGATGGCTTCTTCTTCTTCTTCTTCTGCTGCCTCCATCTGTTGTAGTGTTTGTTGATAGGTAGCAAGCGCCATTTCTAAAAAAAGGAAGGCTTCTTTTACACCATCTTTGCCATCTTTTTTTGTTTGCTCATATTCTTTTCTCAGTTCCTCAACAGAAAAAGCCATTATAAATCTTTTCTTTTCTCCCCCCCCCTCTTTCTTCTTGCAACAACCAAGATATTTCAAAAAATAGAACAATCCCAAAGTCATCAATCAATCCAAGCCAAGACAAAGTTCTCACTTTCTCTTCCTGGGGTAGTATCAATCAAAAAAAGAAAGTCCAAATCTGTATCTTAAAGCCTTATTGCAATACATTTCAGTCTTCAGATCCTTAAGGCATCTCCTCCAACAAAATCTTAACATATAAATATATTTTTTGTCCTCTCCCTTCCCACTTATCATATAATGCCAGTTTTTACCTGAAAAAGACAGGTTTCTCAGTATCCACTTGTTGATTCCGTAGGGAAGGAGAGTAAACTTTCCTTTCAGCACCTCAAAATTGCCGCTTGTTTTCTCTTCTGGAAAGTGTCATTCAAAAAGCCATAATTTCCAGGAATTATGTTAAATATGTCTTAGAGTCCTGGGTCAACCAAGAAAAACTTTCACTTTCAAAGGCTTTCTCCTCTTCCTCCTGCGCATTCTTGCCCAGCTGCCAGCTTCTTTGTGGCGGCCATTACGGACCGCCGCTGCACCGTCTTGGGAAAAGGGGGTTCTGCCGGCCGGGGAGGGGGTCTGCAACACCCCCAAACCCCTCTCCGGATCCCCCCTATCTTCAGCCGCCCCTGCAGGGCAGCCTTAGCTCCAAACCCGTCCGGATCGGAGCACCAAAAACGGCTAGCACAGCAGGGATCGCGCAGTATCGCGAATCCCTGCTGCTCGCGAAGCCGACAAACCGGAAATCTGACCTTCTGCTTAGACATGTTTTGATTATGATTTGATTACTTGTTCTGTTGGAAGCTTTGAAGCTGATGATTGAATGTGCAAAAGGAAGTACCACTTTAATTACCATAACCTTAATGACGTAGCCATTTTGGAGATGAGAAAATGGACACTTTAAAATGAAAGGTAGTATATACTCTTAAAAGACTTTTAAGTGGATTTGTATTAATATTTCAATCTCTTCCTTTTCCAGAATGGTCCCATGGTAGATGGACTTGAACCTCAAGAAGCTAGTGACAGGCTTATAATTTTCCAGGTATTTCCCCTACCGTTTTGCTTATTAAATGTAAAGTATCTTCACAGTCTGATAATCTTGCATTGGACTTCACCTTCCTCCCAATCAGGATGTCTTAGATTGTATCAGATCAGAAAAGGCTAATATAAACAGCTAATGCTTAAAGAAAAGTGTAAAATAGCATCACCCTGATGTGTCACTAAATTTGTATCTGATCCAGCAAGAGAAAATTATATCGCAAAAGTGAATTCCTCAATAGTCAAGGAGACCCTGTTAGACCATACCAATTCTGTTTTCTGTTTCTATAGTGACAAAAGAATTTATGCTGAAGATACGTGCAGATGCTACGAGTGCTTGTTCTCTGTAAATGTCTATATTGGCATTGGCATTTTGTAATTTGGTTCACCTTGCCTGAAACCAATTTCTTTTTCTTTTGTTCTTGGTAAAAATGACCCAGCTGGGACAAGGTTGGAGGAACAACTAGGAGCAAAAGGGCTTGATTTTTATAGCTGCTTCTCCTGATTTCTACGTATGAATAATTGAATTAAATGGTATCTGCATCACTAATATAAATACAAGCAATTGTTAGCTCATTGTAAATTTGATTCCTTTTTAATGCTCAATTTGCAGGGCAGATTTCAGTGCTGACATCTATATTTGTTCCCCTTCTCCTCCTCCACTGTATTGGGAAGTGAGGGTGATTGGAGTTTAGAAAATGAATTACATCTTTGCAATTCTCTCTCTCTCTCTCTCCCTCCCTCCCTCCCTCTCCCTCCCCCTTCTTTATAAATAACTCAAGGTGCCAAACATATCTAATAATCAGGGGTAGGATTCAAATTTTTAACAAACAGTTCTGTGGGCGTGCCTTAGGTGGTGGGTGTGACTTGGTCATCGTGGCTGGGTGGACATGGCTTGGTGGTCATGTTATTGACTGGGTGTGGCCAACTCAATATCACTCACATTGAGGCACGCATCTCCTCGCCTGGCCTCTCATGACTGTGGGGGTGCTGCAACAGTCGTAAATGTGAAAAATGGTCATAAGTCACTTTTTTCAGTGCCACTGTAACTTTGAATGGTCACTCCACACAAACAAAGTACCAGCAAAGGAGGGGAAAAAAACTCCAGAGAAGTTCCTGAGATAGGAAGTCAATCCCTGCCAAGAATGTAATAAGGGTTAATGGAGAGGCAGTTTCTGTAAGCAACACCAGAATGTTTCCTTCCTGCCTTCCTTACAGGATTAGCCAGTAATTTCTTCTAACAACCAGTTCTCCGAACTGCTTAGAATGTTAACAACCAGTTCTAGCGAATAGGTGCGAAATGGTAGAATCCCACCCCTGCTAATAATCCATCCTCCCCCTGCAACAACCCTGCAAGTTTGGTTGAGGTGAGAAAGAGTCACTGGCTCAAATAATTGAGTCACCTTTCATGTCTAAGGCAGGACTAGAATTCTTCTAGTTTCTAGCCTGGTGCAAGAAAAGTAAAAATGTTCGACATATTCCTAAAACTTGGGGATGGGAGAGTGCATTTTCCCAGAGGCTGTTTCCTTTTTACAATATTTTCCAGACTGACCATCCATGATTACTCAAATTTGTAAAAACAAAATAGCCCCTGCTTTGTCTCAAGTGTTTGGGGAGGGCAATTCTCCTCCTAAAAGAAAGGCAAGATCATTACTCTGTCTGTATGCTTTCAAATATATGTTGGCTTTTTATTTTTGAGTTAAAAAAAAATCACTGACAAACTTTGTTGATGTTTGTATTGTCTTTCCATGAATGTGCTGGGAATAGAAACCTCAAATCCATTCCCAGAAGATTAGTGAGATTTACAAGGACAAAAACCTTTTTCAAGGAGACTGAATTGTATGCACATACAGGTGCTTTTTTAATGCAAGTAGCTATTTTATTTTATTTTATTTTATTTTATTTTATTTTATTTTATTTTATTTTATTTTATTTTATTTTATTTTATTTTATTATTTTATTTTATTATTTTTTATTTTATTTTATTTTATTTTATTTTATTATTTTTTTTATTTTATTTTATTTTATTTTATTTTATTTTATTTTATTTTATTATTTTATTTTATTTTATTTTATTATTTTATTTTATTTTATTTTATTTATTTTGTCAAGCGATTATAAGATAACAGGTATAAGTATAAACATGGTTATGAATACATGAAATGGATACGAACAAGGGAAAAAAAAGAAACAATAGGACAGGGACGGTAGGCATGTTGGTGCGCTTATGCACGCCCCCTACAGATCTCTTAAGAAAGGGGTGAGGTCAATAATAGACAGTCTAAAGTTAAAGTTTTTGGGGTTTGGGGAAGAAACCACAGAGTCAGGTAGAGTATTCCAGATATTGACCACTCTGTTGCTGAAGTCGTATTTCCTGCAATCAAGTTTGGTGCAGTTTACCTTGAGTTTGTATCTATTGTGTGCTCTTGTATTGTTGTGGTTGAAGCTGAAGTATTCATTGACAGGTAGGCATTGCAATGTATAATTTTATGTACTACACTTAGAACAGACCGAAGGTGGTGTAGTTCTAGGTTTTCTAGGTCTAGAATTTCAAGTCTGGTGACATAAGATATTCTGCTACGAGTAGAGGAGAACTCTTGTGAAATATTTTGAACCTGTATGGTATTGTGCTGCATGTTCCCCAATGTGGTAATGAGAATCAGGATAAGATCCAAAAATGGAATTTGCAGAGACAGTTTTCCACAACCATCACCTGCAGTCAGCAATACTCTAGTTTAATATATCATCATTGCATGTGTTTATGAGGGCCAGTTTTTGAGATAGGGGATGTCAAGATTCTTGGTAGCTGTATTGGTTCTTTTGTTTCTTAACAATTCTCATCTAGAAGTGGGAATTTAGAAGTTGTGCAATAGAGAACGGAAAACGCAACCAACAATGAATTCCATATTTGGCTGTTATCTCTCGAGTTCTTTCTCTTTTTTTGTTACTGACTTTTCTGCTTTAGAAAAAAATTAAACCTTACTCAAGGTAGCTATTTATATATTGCTTATGGTTTTGAATATTGTTAGGCACACTCAAACTTTTTATTCTACTCTCTAGAACCGATTTGACAACCTTTTCCGGAAATATATCACCTACAC